GTGCTGTGGTTCCTGGGGCTGGGCTCCGGCGACCCACCTATGCACCGCCCAGCATCATGCCACAGAAGCACTGGGTATATGTGAAGCGGGGTGGAAACAGCCCAGCACCAGCACCCCTGGTTCCCCAAGACCCAGATCTGGAAGAGGATGAGGAGGAGGAAGACCTGGTGTTGACCTGTGAGGATGATGAAGATGAAGAGCTGGGGGGTGGCTCCAGGGTTCCCGAGGCCGGAGGACCTGAGGCTACTCTTAGCATAAGTGATGTCCGGACCCTGACTGAGCCCCCGGACAAAGGAGAAGAGCAGGTCAATTTCTGTGAGTCTTCCAATGACTTTGGCTCTTATGAGGGTGGGGGTCCTGGGGCAGGGCTTGATGATTCAGGGGGGCCAACCCCTTCCTCCTATGCCCCCTCCCACCCTCCGAGGCCCCTGCTTCCCCTGGACATGCAGGGCAACCAGATCCTGGTCTTCCCATCGTCTTCATCTTCCTCCTCCTCCTCACAGGCTCCAGGCCAGCCACCAGGGAACCAAGCCGAACACGGGGCAGTGACCCTGGGGGGCACCTCGGCAGGGGCCCTGGGCATGCCTGGTGGTGCCGGGGGGACCCCTGGAGGGACAGGCAGTGGGGATGGGAATAAGATCTTTTTGTGCCACTGTGGGAAGGCCTTCTCCCACAAGAGCATGCGCGATCGGCATGTGAATATGCACCTCAACCTGCGGCCCTTTGACTGCCCCGTGTGCAACAAAAAGTTTAAGATGAAGCACCACCTGACCGAGCACATGAAGACACACACAGGCCTCAAACCCTACGAGTGTGGCGTCTGCGCCAAGAAGTTCATGTGGCGAGACAGCTTCATGCGCCACCGGGGACACTGTGAGCGCCGGCACCGCCTGGGCGGGGGCGGGCCGGGACCCGGGGGACCCGCCCGGCCAGCCTTGCCACCCAAGAGAGAATCCCCCGGAGGGGGCGGGGGCAGCGGCGACGAGGCGAGTGGAGCCACGGCCCAGTCCAGCCGAAGGGTCTGGTCCCCACCCAGCGTCCACAAGGAGATGGGCTTCGGTGGAGGTGGAGGAACGAACTGAGGGGGCAGGCTCCCAGAGGTAGCTTTCCGGATGGAGGAAACAGGGAGCACGAGCCAGGGGCGCTGTGGCCCTCAGGTGATCTCCCACCACGCTTAATGTCTTCCGTATCTCTGTGGACTTGTATATATTTTGGGAGAGGGGCCCGTGTTGCACCATCAGCCGCCCATTCCATTCCTTAGCCACTCTCCCACGACGTATCCCCGGAACTGAGTCTTTCCTTCCCCTCAGATGCGTACACTGAAGCCCCAGCTCCAGACTGGGGCACATATGGTCGGGGGAGGGAGAGGGGGCCACGGAGCATCTTGGAGTCACAGGGTCAAGGGTCAGGTGGTTGTAGTCTGTACATGAAGTCTGTGTTAGTGTTGTTGTGGGGACCAGGCCTTTGAGTCCCGCCCTTGTCCTAGAACCCACCCCACCTCCCTAAGGACGTGCCCTATATTTCCACCCTCATCCCTCCTATCCCTCCTTGGGGGCCCCCCAACTGGATTCTCACTGCGGAGGGAGTGAAGACGAGGGAGTAAGTCGTAAGAATACAAGGTTTTTATTTTAAATCTTATTTTTTTTAAATGGTGATTAAAATATTTATTGGTCATTTCATTCGGCTTACCAACAGCCCCTCTGTGTTTGCTGCAGCCCGGGCGCAGGTGGGGGAAGGCGGAGTAACCGAACTCTGGGAAGTAGAGTCTGGGGGGCAGGGCACGGAGGGAGGAGGAGCCTAGGGTTGGGGAGGGCCCCGGGACTGGGTGGTGCTGTGTGGGCCAAGAGGGCGGGGCGGGGCGGGGCCCAAGGTCCCCAGACCAGAAGCGGAGATACCGTTTCGGGATCCCTACCCGGCCAGTGCGGAAACCACCTGCCGCTCACGTGCCCTCACCCAACCAGAAAGGGGACTTCCTCCACCTCTCCTGCCGGCCTTTCAAGGAAAGTGAAAGTGAAAGGGAGAAGTGGAGGCTTCGGGGCTGAGCAGATCGCGGCGCCATGAAGCCCCTGTATCTGCCCCTCACCGTGGCTTTGGGTGAGCGAACCCCCAGACTCTTTGCCCAAGAACAAGGGGGAGGAGGAGGGATGTGAGCCCACCACGCGCCGGACGCTGGGGGGCGGGTCGCCTCCTCACTCGTGCCCCTCTCCCCCAGCCTTGGTGACCGCCGTCTCGGCGGGACCCGCGGTGATAGAGTGCTGGATGGTGGAGGATGCGGGCGGGGGCCGCCTGACCAAGAAACCCGCCGCACTGCTGCTGCGCCAGGGCCCGGGGACCCCACCTCCCCGACCGGACCTCGAACCCGAGCTCTACCTCAAAGTGCATGGTGAGTCATCCCGGACTCGCCCTCAACTCTGTCACTTCCACCGAAACCCCCTCCTCTTTAGGTCGCGCTGTGACCTCGGGCCTCAGTTTCCTCCTGTAAGATGAGTCTGGATTACCTCTAAATCTCTCACTACTGGGTAGTTTGTGCATTCGGGATTCCCTGGACGCTGCCCTCCCCGCCCCTTTCCTGGCGGTGACTGCAGCAGCAACTCCCTTCTCCCGGCTCACAGACCCCGCGGGAGCACTCCAGGCTGCCTTCAGGCGGTACCCCTCGGACACCCCCGCGCCACACTGCGAGCTGAGCAGCTACGTCCCGCTCCCCGCTTCGGCGAATTGGGCCAGGGGCCTGACCCCCGAGCAGAGCTGCCCGCGGTCCCTGGACGGGACTTGGCTCATGGTCAGCATGTCCAGCCCGATCTTCAGCCTCTCCAGCCTCCTGACACTACAGTCCGAGCCTCATCCCGAGCCTGCTCTCATCACCTTGGCAACAGGTATCGGGGAGGGGGGTGGGTGGAGAGGGGTGGGTAGATTCTAAGGGTCTAGATCAGCCTGTGACTCGCGCTGTGAACTCGTTTGCCCAATCGGGGCTTAGTTTCCTTATATGTAAAGCGAGGCGGTTCGCCTAGGATTGTTTAATTGATCTTAACGGCTTCTTCTAGCTCCTGCCCAGTTTCAAACAAATAAAACAATCACAAGCCTGGGTTTAGGGACGGGGCTTCGTGCGGAGGGCTGAGCTTTGGAGAAAGTCTGACTTGCCTGACACCGGACCTTGAGAAACTTGTAAGGGGTTGGGGCTGGGAGGGGCCCAGAAGCAGGAACTTTTTTTCTCCTCTCTTCCCAGATCTGTGTCTTGCTAGGTAGACACTGCCATCGTTAAGGTTTTCCCTGTTTCAGAAACCAGCGTCCAAGCCCCACATCCGGAGCTGTGGCACTTAGCAAGGCAAAGGCTCTTGCACTCCAGCGCGTTGACCTTTCTTGCCAGCCCCTTCCCTATGACTCGTGAGGATGCGCTGATTCTGTGCTCACCAAATGGTGGGCTGGATTGGGCGGAAGAGACAGTGCAGGTGGCCTGACGGCTCCCACTGAGAGCATCGCTTATTGCATGGTGCAACGCTGTTTGACGGGCAGGGATCTGGCACTTTGCTGAGCTGAGGCTTGAGGAGGGAGTGGGCGGATAAAGCAAGAATGGGGTACCTAGGGGCTCACCATTCTTGCAGCAGAGGGTGGGTAGGATACCAGTAGAGTCATTGGCTTCCTTCAGTCTTGTGAATTTTAAGTTTATTTAAAGTTTATGTATGTATATATGTATGTAAGTATCTCTATACCCAATATTGGGCTCGAACTCAAGACCCTGAGATCAAGAGCCACAATGCTCTTCCAACTGAGCCAGCCAGGTGCCTCTTGTGCGATTTTTTGTTAAAAAAACTGGCAGGCCAACTCCTCCCTTCTCCCTTCCCCAGGACCACCTTCCAGCAACCCCCTCCCTGAGAGTGAATCACCCACTGGACCAGGGAAAGGGACTCAGCACCCACCCATCACCTCTGCCTCTGCTGCCATTCTAAGTTCCCAGGCCCCATCCTAGGCAGGGGTGGAGGCAAACTGCTCCTTGTGGGGCTAGTGGCTCTCTCCAGTGGGGAGGAGTATTTCCCAGGGCTGCTGGCTCCACCGAGATGGGGGGTGAGAAGATGCTTTTCTCTCTGAGTCAGTTTTTCCAACTATAAAATGTGGATGCTATTTCCCATCTGCCCTTCCGTTGTTGTGACTCTCAGGGGAGGCACTTTGTTAATTTACTCACTGGTTCAATACTTATTAACACCAAGGAGAAATTAGGGCCCAGTTGGTTCTCAGTCCAGGCTGCAAATAAGAGTCCTCTTGGGAGTTTCTAAAATATACTGAATTGTCCCACTCCAGGCGAATTAAATCAGAATCTCTGAGGTGGCCCTGGGCACTTTTAAGGGTCAGGAAGGTGATCAGATGTAGATTCTGCTCTCAAGGTTTTCGGCAGATTTGTCATGGCTAATTGTGAAATAGAGCAGAAGACAATTTGGGCCATGAGAGAAGTGTAGATAGGAGCCATGGAGGGCCCAAGTGGGAAGATTTTTTGCTTCTCATAGACCCCTGGGGGTAAAAACTAGTTATTGTGCTCAGTCTTCCTTTTCAAGCATTTCTGCTTGATTGGGGATTGAAGAAAATGAAAGTTGTTGTTTTAACGTAAGATTTAAAATGAATCCTTCTAGGGGTACAGATCATTGGTAATTTTGCTAATATACATTTATACAGTATTTCCTAGCAAATACTTTAAAATGTTTGTTGACAAATACACTGTCCTAACATACTTTGTGTGTATGGTTTTTTTAATTCTCATTGTTCTTTTAATACATTGTTATGGAAAATTTCAAAGACACATAAAAGTAGGGAGAATGGTCAAATGAACCCCGTAGACCCATCCCCCACTTGTGTAGTTAGTAGGTTTTACCACATTGTTTTGCCAACTCTCCTCCCACCTGTTTTCTTTTTCTGAAGTGTTTTAAAGCATATACCAGGCATCATATGATTTTACTCATAAGTACTTCAGTAAGCATCTCTATCAAATAAGGACTTAAAAGAAACCATCGTCATAACAAACAATAATTCTTTAATATCACTTAATTCCTAGCCCATATTAAAATTTTCCCAATTTCTCAGTGATGTTATTTTACAGTAGATTTGCTTGAATCAGGATCGAAAACAGGTCTCTCTATATATTACATTTGGTTTTTGCATCTGCTTGGGTTACCATAACAAAATATCATAGACTGGGTGTCTTAAATTTATTTTCTCACAGCTCTGGAGGCTAGAAATCCTAGGTCAAGTCTAAGATCAAGATGCTAGCAGGGTTGGTGTCTGATGAGAGAGCTCCACCCTTGTAGTCGCACATGGCCACTTCTGGCTGTGTTCTCACATGGAGGAGAGAGAGGGAACTCTGGTGTTTCTTCCTCTTCTTAAAAGGACACCAGCATATCAGGTAGAGCCCTGTGTTAATTATCTCATTTGACCATGATCACCTCTTCACAGCCCCTATCTCCAAATACAGTTGACCCTTGAACAACTGTGTGTGTGTGGGCGGGTGTGGGGGGCAGGGAGGCGGTTATAGGCGCTGACCCACCCCCAGCAGTCGAAAATCTGCATACACGTGACTCCCCCAAAACTTAACCACTTATAGCCTACTGTTGACAAGAAACCTTACCCATAACATAAACAGTTGATTAACACATATTTTATATGTTGTATATATTACATACTGTATTTTTATAATAAAGTAAGCTAGAGAAAAGAAAGTGTTATTTAAAAAATTAATCGTAGGAGAAGAAAATATATTTGTAGGACTGTACTGTAAAAAACCCCTGCCTATAAGTGGACCCTCGCAGTTCAAACCTGTGCTGTTCAAGGGCCAACAGTATAGTCACATTGCGGGTTAAGGCTTTAACAAATGAACTTGGGCGGGGGGTACCACAGATATTGAGTCCATAACAGTTTTGTCTCTTAAGTCTCCATTATTCTATAATTGCCCCACACACCACCCGCCCCCATGCTAGTGGCTTGTCACTTGTCCTGTATAACTTTCCACATTCTGTATTTGGCCAAGTATTTCTTCATTGTGTCATTTTCCTCCTTGTTCCTTTTTCTTCCATACTTCCTATGAATTTGATATAGAAACTTGATTAGATTTGGGTTTAAATTTTTTCAGTAATGCTTTATAATAGTTGTTACCATTCAGTTTATTTTATTTTTTTAAGGTTTTCTTTATTTGAGAGAGAGAGAGTACACATGCACAAGCAGGGGGAGTGGGAGAGGGTGAAGCCGGCTTCCTGCTGAGCAGGGAGCCCGATGTGGGGCTCGATCCCAGGACCCTGGGATCATGACCTGAGCTGAAGGCAGATGCTTAACTGACTGAGCCACCCAGGCGCCCCTACCATTCACTTTATTAACAGAAAAGCAAAAACCTATGTAATGCAAGCTGTAAAAACAGTTACTAATTTCCTTAGTGTTCTGGCCCTGTTGTATTTACATTTGTATTTCTCAGAGTCCAGTTTGTGGGATGCAGGTCTAAAATTGCTCCATCAACTGATATTAAAGAGCAGTGTTAGGTTAAGGGTTAAACTGTAAAACCTTCAGATTTTGTTTATTAATCCTGTGGATTGTTTTTAACAATTCAAAAGTATGTTTCTGGATTTTGATAAACGAAGTGAATTGCCTACCTTTTTACTTTATTGAACAAAAACTGTCCCATGTGGTTGAGAGAAGTTTAACCTTGTGGGGCTCAGAAACTAGGATTAAAAATTACATAATCACGGGGCGCCTGGGTGGCTCAGTTGGTTAAGCAACTGCCTTCGGCTCAGGTCATGATCCTGGAGTCCCTGGATCGAGTCCCGCATTGGGCTCCCTGCTCGGCGGGGAGCCTGCTTCTCCCTCTGACCCTCCCTCTCATGTGCTCTCTGTCTCTCTCATTCTCTCTGTCTCAGATAAATAAATAAAAATCTTTTAAAAAAATTACATAATCACAAGAGAAGAAAGATTACTTTTATGTGAAGGACCGACATTTCTGGGAAGAAGGAGCAGTAGAACTGATCTTGAGGGACATGGAGTATTTAGATATTTGGGAGACAATGGGGAGGGACCTGAAGGAAACTTATGACCATAGCAAAGAAAGGCCCAATGATTAGAGTTTCTACTAGCCATGAGAAAGGGATTCTTTGGAGCCAGTTCTTAGGGTGCAAGAGAAGTCTGGAAGGGTGGATTGGGGGCTGGATTGTCAAGTACCCTGAGACCTGGGTTTTATAGGTAACAGTGAATCATCAGAAGTTTTGTGTGTGTGTGTGCACGCACACGCACGCCGTTTTCCCAAAAGCCTGCTATTTTACTTGATTCTTACAAAGTTAGGCAAGGATCAGATCACTGGACTAATGAGAAAAATATAGATGAACGATTTTCCTGAGATGCCCAGCAAGTTCGTGAGGATGATGATGGTGGTAATGGAAATAGCAACACCTAACATTTATTGAGCATTTTCTATAGCCAGGTACTGGCATTTTATTGGCATAATCTCATTTATTCCTCTTATAGCCAGGTCCTAGCATTTTATTGGCATAATCTCATTTATTCCTCTTATAGCCAGGTCCTAGCATTTTATTGGCATACGTCATTTATTCCTCTCAACAACCATCGGAACAAGGTACTGATATCATCTCCATGTCACAGATGAAGAAATCTGAGACAGGGCACTTGGGGAACTTGTCCGAGAACCGCCAGCTTGTAAGAAGCTGGGCTGGGACTTGAGCCTGGCTCATTTAGCTCCAGCCTGTGCCTTTAGTCGCCGGCTTCGTAGGTAGCTGGGTTTTTTAAACAGGTACGTGACCCGATCAGACTTGTAGCCACACCCTGTGGCTCCAGCATGGGATGAATTGAAGAACAGGGAGACTGAGGATAGGAAGACCCGAGAAGAAGTTGTAATTGTCCTAATGTATGGTGGTGAGAACTTGAGCTGGAGACAGAGTGGGATCTCTTTGAAAGACTGGTGGGGACAGCACATGGTATGTTATATTTGCCAATTTGCTCATCTGTCTCCCTTACTAGACTGTAAGAAACTTGAGGGAAGGGACTCCCTGTTTCATTCACCGCTCTGTCCTCTACCTTGAACATCATAGGTGCTCAGTAAATATTAGTTGAGTGAGATAATTAGAGGAAGGAGTCTTAGTGACTCCCAAGTGTTTGCCTTCAGTGTTTGGGGGGGCTGCTGGTGATCATTCATCAAGGCAGGGGGAATGGGCATTGGAGCTGGGCGAGGGAAGGATGCAGAGATACTGTTGAGTTGGGGCATGTTAAGTTGGTCTGGCAGACGGTTAGATGTAATCACTGCAAACACTTTGGTGGACTTACTGTATTCTGGGCACTGTTCGAAGCACCTTTCAGATATAGGTGTCCTTGTTTTTTTTTTTTTTTTTTTTAAGATTTTATTTATTTGACAGAGAGACACAGTGAGAGAGGGAACACAAACAGGGGGAGTGGGAGAGGGAGAAGCAGGCTTCCTGCGGAGCAGGGAGCCCGATGCGGGGCTCAATCCCAGGACCTGGGATCATGACCTGAGCCGAAGGCAGACGCTTAACCATCTGAGCCACCCAGGCACCCCCACAGGTGTCCTTGTTATCCAGAATCCGGAACTGAATAAATCAGGGTAGCAAGAGGCACTAAATGATTTAACCCTTGTTACAACCCCATGAGATAGGTACTATTATCATCATTATCTCATTATTTAGGAGGTTAAGCTGAGCCACGGCAACGTGAAACAACCGGCCCACCAGGCCATATAAATAGCGGCATAGTGGGGATTAACCAGGGTGGCCAGGCTCCAGGCACTTAACTAGCATATCCCTCCTCAGTAGAGCATAGAGGTCTATGTTCAGGTCTAGGCTAGAGCCAGAACCTTCCAGAGTCAGTAAGCGCTCTGTACAGCACCAGAGGATTGACAGCCCTGAGTCATCACAGTCTTCTCGAGGGAACCAAGAAAGGCCTGGCTCTTTAAGGGTGATGCATGGAGACCAGACTGGTTCAGGCTGTGTCAGAAGTGCACTCAGAGCCCACTGTCCCCAGAACTTGAGTGGGCTTTGTGCTCAGACCAGCCTTCAACGGCTGTGCCCACTCACTGGCCCTATTCTAGACCCGTCTGCTCACTCTCTGGGTCCCACGCAGGCCCAGAACAAAGGGGATGTGCAGGGAGGACTAGAAGATGGTGAGTATCAGAAAAGGAGGTGTCCTCTGAGGGGTGGGTGAATTCGAGTTGGGTCCTCCCTATAACTCTATTTCTCTGTTTTTTTCCCCTCTTTCTTTCTGTCCCTCATGCCCCTTCCACTTCCTCCTCTCCTCATCTTCCCCAGCTGTGCTGACTGTCCTCACCCACACCCCCACCCCTCGGATCCAACTGGGACAAGATGTTCTGCTGGACTTGAACTTTGCCTACATGCCCCCCAGCTCTGAGGCCGCTACATCTCTGGCCCCCGGTCCCCCTCCCTTTGGGCTGGAGTGGAGACGCCAGCACCTGGGAAAGGGGCACCTACTCCTGGCTGCAACTCCAGGGCTGGGTGAGCAGATGCCAGCTGCCCAAGAGGGGGCAGTGGCGTTTGCCGCTTGGGATGATGATGAGCCATGGGGTCCGTGGACTGGCAATGGGACCCTCCAGCTGCCTGCAGTACAGCCCTTCCAGGAGGGCGCCTATCTGGCCACCATACACCTGCCGTACCTGCAAGGGCAGGTCACCCTGGAGCTTGCTGTACAGAGTGAGTTGGGGTACAGGGGCCGCTACGGGTAAACGGTGGGCACTGGGATTATGGTGACACCATGATGGCAGAGGGATGGGGGAGAAGATGGTGCTGGGTGAGTGGTGGGAAAGATTGGGGTCCCTGGGAGTCAGAGGGGCAATGGGTGGAGGTCCCTGGGAATCTGAGTGGCTGGGATGAAGGTTCCCGAATCTGAGGAATAGGGGATCCCTGAGAATAAGGGTTTTAGCATGGGGTTTCCTGTGAAGCACCAGTGGGGAGACGGCAGTTTCCCCATCCTGGAAGAAAAAGCCCAAACCCACCTCAGTTTGGGGAAAGCCATAGGGCAAACTGAGGGTCTCTGAGGGAGGACAGATGTGGACTGATTCCCCCCCTGCTCCTTTCCTATTTTCTCCCCAGAGCCCCCCAAAGTATCCCTGATGCCGGCACCTCTTGTATGGGCTGCCCCCGGGGAGGCACCCCCTGAATTGCTCTGCCACGTGTCCCACTTCTATCCCTCCGAGGGCCTGGAGGTGAAGTGGGAGCTCCGGGGCGGCCCAGAGGGCAGCTTTCAGAAGGCTGAGGGGCAGAGGTGGCTCTCTGCCCTGCGCCACCACTCGGATGGCTCTGTCAGCCTCTCTGCGCACCTGCAGCCCATCCCAGTCACGGCCAAACACCATGGGGCACGCTATGCCTGTCGCGTCCACCACCCCACCCTGCCCGCCTTGGGGCGCAGTGCCGAGGTCACCCTGGAGGTGGCAGGTAGGAGTCAGAAGGATGGAGCAGCCAGGGGTGGGCACCTGGGAGGATACTACTGAGTTCACTCTCCAACTCCCCCCTTCCACCTGCCAGGTCTCTCTGGACCCTCCCTAGAGGACGGCGTGGGCCTCTTCCTGTCTGCCTTTCTCCTCCTTGGGCTCATCAAAGCGCTGGGCTGGGCGGGTGAGTGTGACCCTCCCTGCCACAGTGACAGTCCCTGCCTACTCCCAGAAGCCTGACACCTGTCCCTCTTCTGCCCTACCACTCCCTCAGACCATTCCTTCTCAATCTCTCTCCGCAGCTGCCTACAAGTCCACTTTGAAGGATTCAGAGGAGAAGGTAACAGCTCTCCTTTTCTTTCCATTCTCATTTGAGCCCCTCCCTGTAACTCCTCACCCAAGGATTCCTCAGCCAAAGTCCACCCTGGATTTGGAATTCACACAGACCTGGGTTAACTCCTGCCACCTTGAATATTCTACTTAACACCTCAGTTTCCTTGAGTGTACGGATGAAAAAAAGTACTTAGGCAAAAGCACTCCACCCAGTGTCTGCCAGGCAGAAAACTGACAGAAACTGTTAGCCCCGTTCCTCTGCCTCCCTCTGTGCCCACGAGGGTTCATTTATCTCTGGACTGATCATGAGCATGTCACCTGGCTTTCTGAAACCCGGAATTCCTCACCTCCTTTTTATTTCTCTTCCAGAAAGCACAGTGAGGGCACTCGTCACCATCATCTCTGGCCTGAGCTACTGCAGTAGCGCCCCCAAATAGTACACCATCATCCGCTCATGCTCCCTCCAATCTCTCTCCACAGAGCAGCTGGAATGCTTTTTCAAAGGACACAAACCTATAGCATTTCCTTTCTTAGAGCTCTAAGGCAGTGGGTCTCAAAATTTTTAAATCTCAGGACCGCTTAAAAATTGTCAAGAACTCTAAAGAGCTTTTGGTTATGTGGGTGATAAACTATAGATATTTATGCTACTGAACTTAGTAAGTTATGCTACTCACTTAGTAAGTTCTAGTAGCATAAATTGCTTAGTAAGCAAGCCCGCGTTCCATTAGCTGGGAGGACAATGATGTCAATAGACAGCTTCTGGAAAGCTCCAGTGTACGGTTTTTTTGGAGAGAGTGAAAAAGGCAAATAACATCTTAGTATTGTTATGAATGGCCTTAACTTTGCACACCCACCGAAATAGTCTCCAGGACCTCTGGGACAAGGGCCACACTTGGAGAACCAGTGCTCTAGAAGCCAAATCCATTTCTTGTCCTGGCCTATGCATCTCCCAAGCTGGAGCCACTGCTTGCCTCTTCAACCCCACCTGGTGCCCTCCAGCCCTTCCCTCAGTGTTCTCCACACCGATGGCTATTTCTTTTTTTCCAATGCTCCCACCTTCCCTGGTCTGTTCCCTTTGTCTGGTCCACCCTCGCCCTTCTTAGGCTCCAGACCAGGTCAGCCTCGTTATTCCCTCAGACCGCCGCGTGTCCCTCTTGTGCGGTTCACCACAGTTGTATTTAAGTGATTGTGCGAGTCGTTGGTAGATGCCTTTCTCCCCTCCCGGGCTGTCGGCTCCTCAATGGCAAGAACGTGCCTGTCTGTCCACTGCTGTGTCCCCGCTGGGGCACAGGGCCGGGCGCCCACTGGGGGGCGCTCAGCACAAGAAATCAGTCCTTTTTTCGTCCTAAGTATGCAAAAGCAGGTGTTCGACCAAAGAACTACTGGACGAAGGAAGCGGCAGCTGGCCTGGGGACCTCCGAGGGGGAGGACCGTCGGCTAGACCGACGCGGGAAGCGGATCTAATCGTGTGGGAATAAAGTTGTGTTCCAGTGCTCCCCAGAGCGTGTCTCATTCTACCCCACGGGTCCCCTTCGCAAGCAAGCACACTCTTACAGCCACCTCTGGTCCCTTACCCCCGACCTCTCAAACGCTTTGGCGACACCCAACCCTCCGGAAAAGTCGGGGTCGAGCGCCACTAATGGCGGGCAGCATGCCCTCTAGCAGCGGGCTTTCGTGGGGATGGGGGGCGGCAGTAAGCAAAAGGGAGCGTACGTACCAGCGCCCGGCGCCGGAAACCCGGGAGGGCCGAATCTAGAGCCGGAAGTGGCGGCTTCCTGCTACGCCCCCTTACGAGAGGGCCGGAACGCCGCGCTCCTCGGAAAACGCGGAGTGGATTCCGGTCCGCCACACGCGTGGGTGTGAGTGGGGAGCGTAACCCCGCGGGGTGGAGTAACCGATCCCACTCGGCCTAAAACGCTTCCCACGCGAGTTTTAGCCTCAGTGTTGTGGGGTGGAGGGGAATGTCAAATTCGGCTCCTGTCCTCCCTCGGGAGCTGGAGACTGGAATCTTTATTCTAATTCAGTGCGGGGCTACGTGGGCTCCAGGATCCCCGCGTAGGGGGCACCGAGGACATAGGAGCTGGGGACCCTGGCTGCTGGGTCTCGGCCGCGGGGCGTCCAGCGCTCTTCTCGTCCGCGGCCCTGGCTCCTGTCCTCACTTCCTTCCCTTTTTGGCTCCTGCTGTCGGAGCGGGCGGACGTGGGGGGGAACGGAAAGGGCGGGAGGGCCCGGGAGCCTGGCGGGGGGGGGGGGTAACCGGGGGGTGCGGAAAAGCCGAGGAGGGGACTCGGTCCAGGGACTCGGTTGGGGACTGGAGACCGACGGGAACAGCGGCCCGGGACCCGCGCTGCTCCCACCATTCCCGAGCAGGTCAGAGCCAGAGCACCCTGTGACCCTGCCCGTTCCCGTACTCGTGACCCCATCCCCAAAATGCACCAGGGACCCCCATATTCTACTCTTGTGTTGCTCCCCCACCCCAGGACTCCCATACGGTCACTTAGGCACCCACTCGCGTCCCTCCCCTCCCCGATCCCCCCGCGCCCACCTGACTCTCCACCTGCCCCCCTCCGTTTCTCCCCAGGCGCCCCCATGGCCCGACCCCGCTGATTCCTTCACTCGGCCATGCTCCCGCGGCCCCTGCGGCTGCTTTGGGACACGAGTCCCCCCGGGGGAGTCGTGCTGAGCAGCTTCCGGAGCCGAGACCCCGAAGAGGGTGGGGGCCCAGGTGGCCAGGGCGTGGGCGGGGGGCAGGAGGAAGAGGAGGAGGAGGAAGAAGACGAGGTGAGACTCGAGTGGTGGGAAGTCGGGGAGGTATACATTTCGGAGACTCTCCACCTTTCTCTCGTGTCTCTGTGTCCCTTCATCTCTTCCTCCCAGCCTCAGTTATTTCCGCGCCTCTTGCTGGGTGTCTGCCTGTCTCCCCGCTGCGGGGAGTCCCGGAGTTTCTGTGGTTCCCCGTGGCAGTGTGACTCAGGACCTGCCCGCAGAAACCTTTCCAGTTCCTGCCAGAGCGCCTGGCTCTCTGTTCTGCGAGTCTCTGGCTCTCCCTGCTTCGGCCAGATTGTGCTTGCCTCTCTGGGCATCGTGTCTTGATTCCTGTCGCCCTCCTTGTTTTTGTTTGGCGGGGAGGGGTTTGTTTCCACAGTAACCGGCTCCTCTGACTCTGGGATTGGGGAGGGAACCCTTCGATTTCGTGACCCCTCCCCCTCTCCCGCTGGGCAACGAGTGGAGGCGGGAAGCCCAGGCTCTTGGACTTTGGAGGGATCCCAGGCCGAGTCGGGGGGAGGGCGCCTGCTTTCCTCCGGGACTAATGATGGTGGCTAGAAGCAGGATTTGGGGCCTCAGGAGGGGCCAGAAATTGGATTCGGGGCCCCGAGGCCCTGGACTCCTGGGTCCAGAGACTGGGTGAGGGCAGGGTGACTGGCAGGGCTGGTTTTTCGGGATCGGTTGGGGGAGGGGCTGGGGCCACGTGACTCTCCCAGTCGGCTGGCGGGGGGCCCCCCCCATCATCCCAACTTCCCCTTCTCCTTCCTGTACTGGGATTGGAGCCTCCACCTTGAGGGGGGTCTCCCAACATTGGGGGACCAGGGAAAGGGGGCTAAGGGGAAGGACTAACTCTTGGGGCTTGGTCAGGTCCTGCGGGGGAGGGCGGAGCTTGCGGCTGTGCCTGTGACTGGGGTTCCAGCTTCTCAAGGTCTCTGCCTCTGGCTTTCTGCCTCTCTCGCTTCCCCCTCCTATCCTTTGCACCTTACTTCTCTGCACTGTTGGGGTTCAGCTCTGGGGGAAAGGGCTACAGCGGTCTCCAGGCCCAGGGTTCCTGCATTCCACCCGCCCCTCTACTGCCACCCCCTCAACTCCACCGGGCCCTGAGGCGGCTTGGAGGGGGCTGTCTGGGCCCCAGTGGGGGAGACCTGGGGTCACCAGCCCCCCCCACCCCTCGCACTCGCTGGTACTGTCCCCTGCCACCACAGGTGAGGGGTACAGAGGGAGGAGTAGGGCCTGGGGGTGGGGGACTGGGAGCAGTGGGGGGTGGTGTGGGACTGCCTGACCTCCCCTTCCTTGCTCCGCCAGGCCCCTGTGTCTGTCTGGGATGAGGAGGAGGATGGTGCCACCTTTACTGTCACAAGCCGCCAGTATCGGTCTCCTGATCCCTTGGTGAGATCCTCACTTTGGCTTCTCATCTCTGACGCATCACCTCCCAGTGCCTCTTCATCTGGCCAACTTTTTGGCCAGAGTGCTAAGTCAGAGGTCTGGAGACCTGAAATCTGCTGTGTGACTTAGGTCAAGTCTTTGGCCCTCTCTGAATCTTAATATAACAAGCTTGGACCATCTCCTAGGTCTGGGATTTTCCCCAGAGCTCTAGGGGCTGAGTTGAAAAAAGGGTCGGTGACTTTCCTTCTGTCTCCCCCAGGCCCCCACACCTCCCCCGCGTTCCTCCAGAAGGCTCCGAGCTGGCACTCTGGAGGCCCTCGTCAGACACCTGCTGGATGCCCGGACATCAGGGGCTGACATGACCTTCACATCAGCTTTCCTGGCCACCCACCGGGCCTTCACCTCCACGCCTGCCCTGCTAGGCCTTGTGGCTGACAGGTCAGGGTCATAAGGGACCAAGGGTTACAGAGGTGTCTGGACTTTTCTAGAGCCAAAAAAATCCCACCAAAATAGTCAGAGCCACTGGGGGTTTGGAAAAAAATGGGCAGATAGAATCTCTTCTCCTTCCCAGGCTAGAAGCCCTTGAATCTCATCCTACTGATGAACTAGAGAAGACAATAGGGTGAGTGACCCCTGGCTGTTAACCTCACAGTTCTCTCTGGCTGAGCTGCGGCTTGATACCTGACTCCTGGCTGATCCCCTTCTCCCAGGGTAGCCATCTCTGTACTGTCAACCTGGTTGGCCTCTCACCCTGAGGATTTTGGCTCTGAGGTCAAAGGTCAGCTTGACCGGCTTGAGAGCTTCTTGCTTCGGACCGGGTATGCAGCAGGGGAGGGTGTTGGGGGGGGCAGCGCTGACCTCATCCGCAACCTCCGGTCCCGGGTGGACCCCCAGGCCCCCGACCTTCCTAAGCCCCTGGCCCTCCCCGGCGATCCCCCTGCTGACCCCACGGATGTCCTGGTGTTCCTCGCTGACCACTTGGCCGAACAGCTGACCCTGCTAGATGCGGTGAGACCCTGACCTCTGACCCCGTGCCCCCTGCCCCCTTACTAACCTCTCCCTGACTCCAGGTCCTTTCCTTGCTTCCAACCCTTCCTGATCCAGCTCCCAGCCTCCTCTGTCCACTCAGTTTTGACCTTTCCCCTGTTCACCTTGATTGTTACCCTGCAAACCCCGTGCCCCTTTGGTTCCTTGGCCACCTGAGGTCATCACACCCCTGATATTGGTAGGCTGACCTCACTTGACTATGAACCTTAACCTCTGCCCTCTGCCCTGCAGGAGCTGTTTCTCAGTCTGGTCCCCTCACAGTGCCTGGGGAGCCTGTGGGGTCACAGAGACCGGCCAGGACATTCCCACCTCTGCCCGTCTGTCCGAGCTACTGTCACACAGTTCAACAAAGTGGCAGGGGCAGTGGTCAGCTCTGTCCTGGGGGCTACCTCAACTGGAGAGGGGCCCAGGGAGGTGACCATTCGGCCACTCCGTCCTCCCCAGAGGGCCCGGCTCCTGGAGAAGTGGATCCGTGTGGCAGAGGTAAGATAGAGGCTTGGCCCCGTTGGGGACCGTGGTGTGGAGAGAGGTCCCAAAGCTCAGGCCTACCTCTGTGACCCCTGCAGGAGTGTCGTCTGCTCCGAAACTTCTCTTCAGTTTATGCTGTTGTGTCGGCCCTGCAGTCCAGCCCTATCCACAGGCTTCGAGCAGCCTGGGGGGAAGCAGCCAGGTGGGGAGGATGGGGCACTGGCTGGGAGCTGAGGGCTGGGAAGAGGCGTGAGGGCGAGCCTGGCCCGTCCTTAAGGCTGCTGCCCTCCACCCCCCAGGGACAGCCTCAGAGTCTTCTCCAGCCTCTGCCACATTTTCTCTGAGGAGGATAATTATTCCCAGAGCCGGGAGCTCCTCTTGCAGGTGAGGCCCTGTTCGCTGGTGTTCCCAGCCATCCCTGCTCCCCGCCCCACACCCATATCTCCTTTTTCTGTCACCACCAGGAGGTGAAGCTGCAGCCCTCTCTGGAGCCAAATTCCAAGAAGGCCCCGAGGTCTGGCTCCCGGGGTGGGGTGAGTGACTAGCTGGGGGGTGGTTGTGAAGGAGTAAGGAGTGTGTGGGGGGAAGTGGTCTGAGGGATGGGAAGAGGGGGCATGGGGTGTTTCCGAGGCAATGGGATAGGAAAGTGCAGAGGGATGGAGAGCCCTCAGATCAGGGGTGGGCGTCTGATCCTGACCTCTGACCTCAGGGTGTGGTCCCATACCTTGGCACCTTCTTGAAGGACCTCGTGATGCTGGATGCAGCCTCCAAGGATGAACTGGAGGTCAGTGGTGTGTGTGTGTTCATGTGTGCACTGTGATGAGGGAACGAGTGGGCCTCAGGGTCAGACAGACCTTTCAGAAAGGTGCTACAGGGCGTCAGCACTGAACTCCAGGGCTCGAGCCAGATTGCCAGCATTCTGGTTCTGTTACTTGGGCAAGTTGCTTAACTTCTCTCTGCCTCAGTAACCTGTAAATGGGAAAGCAGCGACCGTGTCTGTGCCAGTCTGTTATTATGAGAGTTAAATGAATTACTGTTCAGCAGGTGCTTAGAGCATGCCTGAAATGTAAACCTATAGCATTCATTAAAGAAACAGATACTGGGATCTTGGGGAAATTCCTCATTCTCTCTGAGCCCTAATTTTCCCAGCTGTGAAATGGACACCACTTGTACCTGTGATATTCCATTTCAAGGGTGAGGTAGAGTGTTTAGGGCAGGACAGGGGTGAGGAGGAGCCAGGGGAGGGACAGAGGACTCAGAGGGCTAGTGGGTGAAGTGTGTGTGAGTTGGATGTGGATGGGTGTGTGCTCTCTGTGGCAGGGTTGGGCTTCACCCCATCCCCCTTATTCTTGCAGAACGGATACATCAATTTTGACAAGCGGAGGAAGGTGAGGGGAGTGCCTGGGCCAGATGCCAGGCATCCCTAGCCATGTCCCAGGATGGGGAGACAGAGGGGAAAGTCGGGGGTCCCTGAGTTTTGGCTCCTGCAGTCTGTGGGCTCCTTCCTAGGAGTTTGCTGTCCTTTCTGAGCTGCGGCGGCTCCAGAACGAATGTCGTGGCTATGACCTCCGACCTGATCCCGATATCCAACAGTGGCTACAGGGGCTCCGGCCACTGACAGAGGCTCAGAGGTGACTGGCTGGGTGAGGTTGGGACTCCAGGGCTGGGGCTGAGTGTGGGGATCAGTGTGTCACGTCCTGACCTCTGCCCATTGGCCCTTTTCACAGCCATCGAGTGTCCTGTGAGGTGGAGCCACCTGGTACCAGTGACCCTCCTGCCCCGCGGGTGCTTCGGCCAACGCTGGTCATCTCACAGTGGACAGAGTGAGGGAGTCAGCGGTTGGGGGGTAGTGTTTTGGGGAAGCTACTTGGGAGAAGAGCCCTTCTTCCTCTGACCCTCCCAATCTCTTGCCCCTCTAGGGTTCTGGGCTCTGTTGGGGGACCCACCCCCCTGGTCTCCTGGGACCGGCCCAGTGTGGGGGGAGATGAGGTACCTGGAACCCCTGCCCCTCTGCTAACCCGGCTGGCCCAGGTGAGCTCTGTTCCTGACCTCTGACCTTAGCACTGACCAGGCCTTTGTGAACATTTCTGCCTTGACCTCTCTGCCTTCATGCCCGTCCCCCATGTTGTTTGTCCCTAGCACATGAAGTGGCCATCTGTCTCATCTCTGGACTCTGCCCTGGAAAGCACTCCATCCTTGCGCAGTCCGTCTGACCCCAGCCACCTCTCTCCCCCAGCCTCCTCTCCTAGGCCTTCTCGAGGTCACCGCCGCTCCGCTTCCTGTGGCTCCCCACTCAGTGGGAGTGCCGAGGGGGCCTCCAAGGGGGCTGGATGTGGGGGTGGGGGGTCTGGGCCAGGGGCCTCTGATTGCCGAATCATCCGAGTCCAGATGGAGCTAGGGGAAGATGGCAGTGTCTACAAGAGCATCTTGGTGAGCAAGCTGCAGGCTGCAGGGTGGGGGTGAAGGTTGATGCCTTGTGGGACTACAGATGTTGTCTTAGGTTTGAATAGTCAACTGGGAGGATGATTATAGTTTTAATTTTGATCTTTGGTTATGGCCGCTATTTTATTTAAAAAAATTTTTTTATTTCATTTTTGAGAGAACGAGCATGTGCACATGCGCATGCTTGTGAGCAGGGGTGGGAAGGGGCCGAGGGAGAGGGAGGGAGAGAATCTTAAGCAGGCTCCACACCCAGGACCACAGAGCCCCACGGGCTCGATCTCATGACCAAGATCATGACGTGAGCCGAAACCGAGAGTTGGACGCTCAACCAACTGAGCAACCCAGATGCCCCTCACCTGTTTTATTTTAAAGGCTACTTGGCATTAGCTGCTGCACCTTGAATTTTGGTGGCCATATTAGATTGTTAGAACCCACAGCAGTTTCTTCGTAGGGAAGCAGCCCTATTTCACTGGATACCGTGGAGTCCCGGGAGCCACCATATAGGGTTTCCCTGTTCGTTCTGAACTGTTTGACATGGTAACCGTGTTTGGTTGGGATCAGTGGTTAGAGCTGAAAGGATGGAAAGCAGAGGTGATGGCCAATTTATTGCTCTTTTGGTCTCCTGTCTTACCAGGTGACAAGCCAGGACAAGGCTCCAAGTGTCATCGGTCGTGTCCTTAAGAAAAACAATCGTGATTCTGCGGTGGCTTCAGAATATGAGCTCGTGCAGCTGCTCCCAGGGGAGCGAGGTCAGAGGCCATGAGGGAAGGCAGACTCGAGAGGAGAGTGCTGCCCACCCGTGGAAACACTTCCACGTCTGGGTGGTTGTGGGGGGAATGGCCGTGTCTGTTCCTGACACTCCCTCTCTGAACATACAGAGCTGACCATCCCACCCTCGGCCAACGTCTTCTATGCTATGGATGGAGCTTCACACGATTTCCTCCTACGGCAGCGGCGAAGGCCCTCTGCTGCCACACTGGGTCTCACCAGCAGCCCTTCTGCCTCAGGAACTCCCCCAAGTGAGGGAGGAGGGGGTTCCTTTCCCAGGATCAAAGCCACAGGGAGGAAGATTGCCCGGGCACTGTTCTGAGGAGGAAGCCCTTCCAGCTCAACAGGACTCCTGGCGGCCATACCAGATGTGGGTAGCCATCCTGAATGGTGGAGGTCATGTTGCACTGGCAAGAAATTCAGAAAGGTGGCCAAACACCCCGGGGCAGTGAAGTGCCACTGGCTTGCCAGACAGCTGAGAGATCCAGCCTTGTGGGAACTAGTAATCTTGGTAACCAAGTTGGATACCTGTGTATAGCTCCCTACTTTCCATGAATGCAACACACAGCTGGTGCTAGAAAAAGGAATCAATTCCTGATTCCTGGCCACATCCTAGCATGCCGAGGGCCAAGGAAAGGCCTACAAGGAGGAGGAGAGGAAAAGCCTAGAGGCTCTGAGCCCTGGAGAGAGGGGATGGCAAGAAATCGGTTCAAGTAGGGGTTCCTGTCACTGTGACAACACTAAGATAATAAACCAAAACACTACCTAAATTTTACTCCCCTGTCCTGTCCTTGCAGTGCGTATGGTCTAACTGCTGGGAGTGGGGGTAGGGAGATGGCTGAAGGTAGACGTCAAGGAACAAGAAGGGGCCCAGGGTTTTCTATCCCTGTTGCTGAAAGCAAGGTGTTAGTGAAAAGTTTCCTCACAATAGTGTATTCCTCCCCAGTAACCTCTCCACCCGGGTCCCTTTATTCGCTCCTAAGTTTTTCTCCTCAGTTGTCACAGACCCACATCGAGTACTAGTCACCTAATTAAAGTGATCAGTCTGAAGAACAACCCCTGGTTGGAAATTTGTAAGAAACAATTCTAGAACAAAGAAATGGAAGACAAACTTTGTGGATAATGTGTAAACTTGGAAGACTTAAAACATCACAAAGCATTCCATGTTGGGATTTTAAATCCGTCTAAGCTACATTCAAACAAATTCTAGAAAGAGACCGACTTAAGAGAGATGCCAGGGCTTTTTGGAGGATGACAAGAAATCATAGCAAAGAGGGTCACCACATTTCATCTTGGGGTCTCAGTTTATATTACTGTGAGTTCTGCAATTAAACCAGCCTTCCCAACAATTGTGTTGTAAATGCTCTTCTCATGTTTCCTGAAAGGGTGTGCCAACCAAGATAAGGAAGAATTAAGGGTTGTATATACAGGCAAGAAGTAGGTTTGAAACATTTCAGATTTTAGTCTCAGGAAAGAAGGAAGGATTACTCTGCTGCAGAGAGATTCCAGTTACAAGACCTTGGACCTGATAGAGTAATATACGTGGTGTATAAATAAAGTGGAAGGGGCCCAGGGAACGGATGGAGACAATTATGACAGAAAGTGGCTGGTCAGAAAACAGCCAGGTGTTTTCACATTTTATTAGCTACAGTATAGACCCTAGAGCTGCCTCATTCCCTCCCCTCCCCTCCCCCCCCACCAAGGGGTCAGGCCTTCCCAGAAGCCCCTGCCTTGGCTGCCTGCGCCCGCTGGAACTCCTGCTGCAGCTGAGCCAGGGTCTCCCTCTGTTGCTCTGACTGCCGTTCGAGGTCCCGGAGCTGGGATTCATATCGCTTACTAAGGAGAGGGAAGAGACACAAAGAAGCAAATAAGAAATTCATGGGACTTACTACTGAGGGTGTTGAAGGCAAGGAAGAGATTGACGGAAAACCTGAGATCTGGGAGAGGCTCTGGAAGAATTAGACAAGAGGGGATACTCTGGAGCTACTCTATAATGGCTCCTCAACCCCTTTACACCAGCGGTGTCAGGTGCATTGCAGGTTGTGGAACAAAGACTCACATTTCAGCTGTGATATAGTCCAGCCTCTTCCCCACGGTCGCCCGAGCCTCTCCCAGCTCCTGTTTGACCAGTACAGGACCCAGAAGTTTAAAGACCACGTTGGACCCATCTAGCAGGGCTAGCTCCTGATGAAGGGATGGGACATACGTGATCAGAACCAGAGCCAATACAGGTCCCTCCTCGCCCCCACAAGTCCTCTCTCACCTCCTTCACGATATTATTTTCTGTTAGTTGGGCCTCAAGCTTCTGCCGCCCCGACATGGATTTACTCAAGTCTGGGGGTTGGGAAAAAAAAAGGCTTGATTAGAAACCTCAAATGTAGGGCCTGATGCCCATCCTAGTGAGAAGAAAATGGAACTGAGGAAGTAGACAAGGATGCGGCGGCAGGTCAGTGAGTGGGGAAAAGCACAGATGGGGAAGGAGCGGCACGCGGGGCCTCGGGTGGGGCAGAAATCATTATCTTGGTTTGGCTTTGGGCTGTGACTGAAGGGACTGGGGCGAGGCCGCACAGACCCTGCTCCCTTACCCTTCTGTAGCTGCTGATATTTCTCCACTTCTCCCTGTAGCTTCTTCTGGATTAGATCGGCCATGGCGGGGACGAAGGCCTGCGGGGAGCGGGAGAGGGGCGCTGGGTGGTACCCGAACTCCCCTCTCTGGCCTGGCCTGCCGAAATGATAGCACTCTTGAGAGGCAGCCTCCCGGGGCACCGCAGCCTCACTCCGTCCCGGAGAGCCCTCTACCCCGGCCCCAGGGGGTGGCGGGCGCAGCAAGACCCCCAAAGCCCTCAACCGTAACCCAACCCTACTCACGTTCTCCCTTCACTATTACTAAACCTGGAAGTAAACAAAGAATGCTGGGAAAAGACGGCGCCGGAAGCTGTCTTCTGACGCATGCCGGGAACTGTAGTTTTGGCATGTTTAATGACAGCTGTTCCGCCAGAAGACTGGACTCGGGAGGTTTTAGGCAAGACAGGGAAACGAAGCCGGAAGGAGAAAGCGCACCGTTACTTAGGCCCCAGCTCCAGACTACTTTTCTTTCATTGCTCGGGCATAAGCCGCTGCTTCGGATTGCGGGATTAAGGCCTGCCCCGCCCCTCGAGAGCGTAAGCCCTCACTCAAGATGGCGCCTAGAAGGCTTCGGACCTGGTAGGCGCTGATTGGATAAAGGGCAGGCGGACTTCCGGGAGTTTTCAAGGGGTCTGTGGGACGGCTGAGAGGAGTTTGCACGTGGATTGTAGTTTGGGTGGGCTAGATGGAAACAGCCCCCAAATCGGGCAGGGATGTCCCACCCAAGAAGGACAGACTTCAGACCAAGAAGAAGGTAGAGACGTCTCCTCTCTAGGGTGGAAGGGAAGTTTTTAGCTGCGGGGTCCGGGGGAGGGGGGGCGGGGCGCGGGCTACGGAGTCTTAGAGCTTCTGATGTGCCCGTAGAAACCGCGGAGGTACTGGGAGGAAGAAACCACTCTGACCGCTGCGGGAGCCTCTCCAGGCCCCCCTGGTAGCAAGAAGAGGAATCGTGAGCTCCGCCCCGAGAGACCAAAGAACGCTAACATCACCAAGAAGTTTCGGATCTCCAGGAAGCCTCACCTCCCGAAGAAACCCCGAGAACGGAGGAATCTTGAGCCTCAGCGGAGCGTGTCCGGGGTGAGCCTGGGAGCTGATAAGGTGGTGGGGCAAGTCGCCTTATGCTTTACGGGTGCGAGGATTGGGGTCAGCTCTAGCCTGTTTGCTAATTGTTTCCTCCTTCCCCAGGCCCAGGATCCATTTCCAGGCCCTGCCCCTGTGCCTGTGGAGGTGGCTCGGAAGTTCCGTCGCATTGACAAATCCAAAAAGGTGAGGACCAGCCAGAGAGTGGGGAGAGGTTGTAGCCGGGAGTATATGAGTGAGTTGGTTGGAGGGGAGGCTGTGTGGCTCTCCTGGGACCCCACATGATGTCTGGTTCTTCTCCCACTTCTCCCCCCACCAATGACGTTATAGCTGCCACATTCGAAGTCCAAAACCCGAAGCCGACTTGAGGTGGCTGAAGCTGAGGAAGAGGAAATAAGTATTAAAGCTGCTCGTTCTGAACTACTGCTTGCTGAGGAACCTGGGTAAGTGGACCCTAATGTGGACCTCCCCAGGTCCTGCTTTATGAGGCTTTTCTTTGTCATTTTCATGTTGGTACATCCGCTGCATGTTTGGGAGTTTACTGCAACTCCAGCACTCACTCCTAGGTTTCTGGAAGGGGAGGATGGGGAGAACACAGCAAAGATACGCCAGGCTGACATTGTGGAGGCTGTGGATATTGCAAGTGCGGCCAAGGTGAGTCTGAGTTGAAAAGGGGCCACTGGCTGGATTGGTGGTACAGAGCAAGATGGAAGTGGGGACTAGAAGAGGGAACAACTGAAAGGAGCCACTTCCTTCTTGATTTTTTCCCCCACTTTTTCCTTTCTCAGCACTTTGATTTAAACTTGAGGCAGTTTGGACCCTACAGACTGAATTACTCCCCAACTGGGAGGTAAGGCTGGATATCAGTCTGTTGAACTAGGATGTGGTTCATTTCCTTAACCACTTCAGCCACGCTCTCCTCAGCGGTACCAGTGTATGTTCAGGCTGATGATGTGGGGAGGGTCCTGTGATTCGCTTGCATGTGAGGGTGAGCATATAGAGGAGGGGCCAGTGTGGGACAGACCTCAAATGGTCTGAGTCAGGGTGCTTCCCTGCATTGACACTCTACCTGTCCCCTACTTCCAACAGACACCTGGCTTTTGGAGGGCGCCGGGGTCATGTGGCCACGCTTGACTGGGTAACAAAGAGGCTCATGTGTGAGATCAACGTCATGGAGGCAGTGCGGGACATCCGGTCAGTGGGGGTGAGGCATCCCCTTCCGACTGAATGACTGCTCCTTGACCCCCTTTCCCACTGACCCTCCCCTCCCCTCCTTCCAGGTTTCTGCATTCGGAGGCACTGCTCGCTGTTGCTCAGAATCGCTGGCTTCACATCTATGACAACCAGGGCATCGAACTCCACTGTATCCGCCGCTGTGACCGAGTCACACGGCTGGAGTTCCTGCCTTTCCACTTCCTCCTGGCCACGGCTGTGAGTGGCTGAGGAGCACAGGGACTGGGTGGCAGCCCTTGAGAAGACGGCTTCTTCTCTGGGATCCCAGTAGAAGGACAGAGGGCAATCAGGACTCATTCTGTCTCTCTCTCCCTCAGTCAGAGACGGGGTTTCTGACCTACCTGGACGTGTCAGTGGGAAAGATCGTGGCAGCTCTGAATGCTCGGGCTGGACGGTTGGACGTCATGACTAAGAACCCTTACAATGCCGTCATCCATCTCGGACACAGCAATGGTTGGTCTCTAGCTGAGCTTTGACTCTCTGACCACCCTGACCTGCTTTGCTTCTATTTGTACTTTGCAAGTGTCTTCAGGTTGCCCCTATCCCTCCTTCTCGTTACCCCTTGGCCTTGAGACCCTGTCTTTACCAGATGTAATCACCTTAGCGCCTATTAGTAACTTTGGTTTCTCTCCCCTGACGTCCAGGTATCGTGTCCTTATGGAGTCCAGCCATGAAGGAGCCACTGGCAAAGATCCTCTGTCATCGGGGTGGGGTCCGGGCTGTGGCCATAGATTCTACAGGCACGTAAGTCACTTGTTTGGTCACAAGGTGCTGGGGAGGTCAAAGCTGGGTAGAAAGATCTAGAAGGCAGTGTCCTTTAGTAGGAGCACAGACTCACAGTCAAGCTGCCTAGGTTTAAATTCTAGTTGGGGCGCCTGGGTGGCTCAGTCGGTTAAGCGTCTGACTGTTGATCTCAGCTCAGGTCTTGATCTCAGGGTTGTAAGTTCAAGGCCTGCATTGGGTTCCACCATGGGCGTGGAGCCTACTTAAAAAAAGTAAGGAGGTAAATAAATCCTGGTGTTAACCACTGACGGGCCATGTAAGCGTGGGCACATTTCATAACCTCTGTGTGCCACACACTTTCCTTGCCCCAAGGGTAGGGATGAGTATCTCGCTCAAGAGTCAGAAAGCTTTCTCTGTGAAGAGCCAGATAGTAAAGATTTTAGGTTTTGCTGGCCAAGAGGCAAATTTGAGTGTATTGTATAGATATTTGAGTAAAGAGAAAACAAAGCATCACGATTTTTTAAGCAATAAAATTCAAAATACAATAGTTCCCGAATATAGTATTTTTGTAACACGGGTCTACTAATGGGAAGAATCGGATACCTTGTTTTGAGGATAACATTTTGCTCAACTGAGGTTCAAAGTTAGTGTTCTAAATCAGCAAACCCAGTTGTAGACATTTATCTGTTAACGTTGATCTGTGGAGAGATTTTACCTATTTTGTCTTTGAAGACATCTTTCACACACATGATGAGATAGGTGGCAGGTTATAACCGTGTCACTGTGAGTTGTCGTGCGCCCACAGTGGTGTGAAGGGATGACACACCACACGTGATGTCGGTCTTGACCGCTCTCCCGGGCTGTTGTACAAAAGCAGCCACGGAAGCAGCCAGTGAACCAGTGCGGTTGTCCTCCGATATGACTTCTTCTGTGGACGCTGAAATTTGAATCTATGTAATTTTCACCTGTTTCAAAATATTTTTTGAATTTTTTCTGGGCACTTAAAAATGGCCAAACCATTTGGAGCTTGAGGGCTGTCCAGAAGTAGAGGGTGGGCCGGATTTGTTTGGCGCATGGGCTGTAGGTCACCAAGCCTGGGGCTTAGTTCGTAAAGCCGTCCAGGTGTTAACGCGAGTTAAGGCATGTGGAGTTTAGCACGGTGCCCGGGGAGTATGGAGCACCGCGGTTCACCACTGGCGTCATGGAAGGTGATCGTTCTCTTCAGGCTTGGCTGGTGATGTGAGGGGTAGGAGCGGTGGGCCTGCTCTGAATTTCTGCTCTTCGAGAGTCTGCAGCTGGCCCGCTGTGCTGAGGGGGGTGTGTGTGTGTGTACCTGGTGCGCTGTGTTCCACACAGGTTCCCTCGAATGGGAGTAGTGGGTGTTCCTCTTAATTCCTTTCTTTGTTAGGCACTCACGGGCACCTGCTGCGGGCAGGGCTCTGGGCTGAGGTTCTGGGGGGGTGGGTACAAGGATGAAGGGGCCATCGAGCCTGCCCAGGTGCAGTATTCCACTTTATGTACAGAGACAGGGGACTGTAGTTTATGCAAATAATTAGCCAGGAGATGCATTTAGTTTCTGTTGAGTTGTCTTCTGTCACCCCAGACTTAATGTGTCCATCCCGGGATAGGTCACCCCACTCCCAGATTCCTCCTTGCTTGCTCCCTTTCTGCCACATTTTCCTGTCAACCAGAATTTGACTCGACACCTCTAGCTACACAGCCCCATGATCTTCAGCCATCAGTAAGGGCGGGAACCAAATTGCTGTTTGCTGTGTGCTTCCTGGGTGCCCAGGCTCTGCTGCTTGCTTCGGCGACATCACTTCATTACTGCCCATGACCCGCTGTGAAGTCCCGGCTGCTGTCCCCCGGAGGGCCCTCTGAGGTCTGTTTCTCTCCATCCTCACTGTCTCCTGTGAACATGCACGATGCTCGCAGCCACTTTCCAGCCTCTGGTTCTTCCTCCTCCTGGCGTGTCCTGAATGCTGTGGGCAAACTGATCTTTCCCACAAGCTTCTTTCCTCCTTTCACGCTGCTGCGTGGGGATCTTCTTTTTTTTTTTTAAGATTTTTTTATTATTATTTATTTATTTGAGAGAGAGAATGAGAGAGAGAGAGCATGAGAGGGGGGAGGGTCAGAGGGAGAAGCAGACTCCCTGCTGAGCAGGGAGCCCGATGCGGGACTCGATCCCGGGACTCCAGGATCATGACCTGAGCCGAAGGCAGTCGCTCAACCAACTGAGCCACCCAGGCGCCCGCGTGGGGATCTTCTACATGAGGT